TACGAAGATATTATGTTTGTATTAATCATTTGTATTTTGACACAAAAATATTATGTCGGTTTTGAATTCATACCTAGGACCGACCATTTGCCACACGGTCGCTAATGTATTTTTTTATAGAAGGGGGCGCAAATGAGCACACATTCACAGATACTTCCATCTATTCTGCATTTAGAATACAAGTACAGATGCGCTATCACCGCTGAGGAAGACCCACCTATAAGATCGAATGCCTCGTTTCCAGTAAAAAAGCGTCTCCGGTTCTCCAAACTCACCATACGAAACGCAGCAGCAGTAAGCTGCCGTTTTGACGCTGGTAATCTGTGAGAGCGTGATCCTGCCCCGGTTATGCCAACTCATTCGTGCTGCAGCCATAGTTGTACCATAGCTCTACCACTTCTAAAAGTAGTCTGAGAGTTGTATTTATTCCTAACATGCTTAATTCCTCACAGGATATGAACCTAGGAAATACTATTCAGGCACGTTAACTGCCGAGTAAATAAAATTTAAAATTACGTAGTAGTAGGTACAGTATATTATTTTATCATTATTAACTAGCGACCTGCCCTGGTTTCGCCTGGATATGATTAGTACATAGTCGTAGATTTAATCAAAGACCATTTATTTTATCTTACTTTTGTTATTTAAAAAAGTTTTTTAAGGTTTTTTTTTTTTACTTATTTTAGTCGTAAGTGTATGCGTTATATATATATATATATATATATATATATATATATATATATATATATATGTGTGTGTAGAAGCATGGAAATAATCCCGAAAAGCCATGTTAATTTTAGTCAATAAAAATTTATTTAGACACACACGCACACAAACAAACACGCATGATCAAAATTCAACTTTTTGTTGAATTATGCAAAATCTATAATTCAACAAAAAGTTGAATTATGAAAGATTTTGTTTTATAAGTACCAAGGCAACATAAAGAACAGGACGTAAGAAAACAATTCATACTAAGACACGGATATAGGTACGGCTTCGTCCGAGTGCAACGCATATTTCATCAAATCTTCACTGACCTCACGTTCATGGAATAAATTACGAAATGGCACATATGCTAGTTGAAGTAAAAGCTAAAGTTGTTTGCACCATCCGTCGTGTAACGGTGTTTCGCACTAGTCGTTGATGTGTTGAAAGTGGAGCGAAGTATGTGTAACAAAGTACGAACAAACATACTACACACATACATTGTGTCGTATACATAAGCGATGTCAATGACCAGTTTCGAGCACGTTCTCTTGTTAGGTACTTCTAGAAATCCGCGCAAGGAACATTCTAGATTACAGAAAGTAGATGTACAAGGGATGCAGTTGAGGCGCACGCCGGGACAGCTTATCTTAATATATTATCTAAGCGATAATAAGCCTGACTGTCTCGTTGGTCTGGTGGTTGTTGTAGTACGACTGCTGATAATGAGGTCCTGAGTTTGAATCCCGAGTCGGGACAAAAAATCAATTATTGAGTTTTTCCGTCAAGAAATTCTCAGTACCTGCCCGGAGTCAGGAAGTTGGCGGTGTCTCACCCCCGTGCCTCGGAAAGCACGTAAAGCCGTTGTTCCTGTGCCTGATCTCTCTCTGGTCGTGTCGGGTTCCCGTCTGATGTGATTATTAGAGTGCGGGAATAGAGAGTGCACCTGTGCTTGCGCATACACTTGGGCACTATAATCCTGTCCTGCGCCGATGGGAGGTAAAAACTTACGGGACGAACGGTAAAAGTAATCGGGACTTTGGATTCCAAATTTAGTTCAAGTTTGATGAAAAAATATGTAAATGTGCTAGTAGCTTAGAGAAAATTATCTACCAAAGGATGGACCAAGGAGGTCAGTGAAAAATCAGGACATTCGGCGTCCCAATTTTTCACTGACCTAGATGTGAAACGGGACATGTCACCAGTCACCTGAAAGTAGGGACGTCCGCGGCTGTTGCATAGGAATTACATGAGTCAATCCGTCCATCCTATTCCACTATCGGACTACCTGGCGGCCGACGGCTCTCCACTCTCCATCTCTTTATTGCCGATATGCCAAGCATTCCAACTAAACGTTTGGCTCGTTCTTTTGTGATACATACAGCAAAAGAATTAAATATTTTGTCTTCAAGGTAAGAGTGGATAGGATTTTGTTATGTGTAGATATATGTTTTCAACATCGCTTGCCACCAAGTGGTATCGTAGTCAGGCAATGATTTAAAATCATTAAAAGATATCTGTAAATAGACGCTATCCGATAAATGAAGCTATATACTGAATGTAAAGTTGAATTGATAAGTTACTATTGGGTATATTGATTTACATATTACTAGTATCCTTTTGAAATCATTGATTGTGGATACTATTTCCAAACAACTTGTAAATCTGCTAATAGTTTATTTATTTATGTATACTTATTAGCATATTATTATTATTATCTGTTTTAATATCTGTTTCTATCTTTAAAAAAATCACTTCGCTTTTTATGTAAGTTGTGGGGTTACCTGTAAGAGCATGTACACGTAGCATATAGTCGCCGTTTTGAATTATATTTTTGTTAGTATTGTGTATCATCTGTTGGTAATCCAAATAAGGAGAAAAAAAATAGTTCCAATGGGTCTAAATTAGACTTGGAACGAATATTCGGCTACTATTCGGTATTCGGCCTGTTCGGCTACATTTATTCTACGAGTATTGTCGAATACCGAATATCTTATCTAGGTAGGTACTATTCGGCCGAATACCAAATACTTAAGTAAGATGTAGTGTTGGCAAGGCAGTAGTCAGATAATCGGTAAAATGAAAATATTGATTTATTTTATAATAATATATTTTCTAGTAATCATTTAAGTAATCAACCTCCGTTTTATAAAATGTAACAAAAAACTATCTAATAAATATCTGTGCACTTGATTTATAAAAGTAAGTAAAGTTACAGCCTATATACGTCCCACTGCTGGGCACAGCCCCCCCCCCTCATTTCTGAGAGGGTTTTAGGGCAAGGAAATCTCCGCCGCACTGCCTCAATGCGTGTGGACATAGATATAAGAAATAAGCGTGTTGGCGAACTTCACATGTCTTCTAATTTTTTTTCTTTTTACTTTTACTTGAATTATCGTAATTAATAATTTGTAAGTGGAAGATTACTCATTTTCTTCTCGTAGACAATCCGAGCTTTAAGCTCGCAATATACATACGGAACTCCGTTTCAGAATTCCGAAACGAAACGACCGGGTCGACCACACGTATTCGGAATCTCGGTTTGCTCGCAAAATTCCGTACGGTAAACTACCGGAATTATAAATATCGGACGCTGAGAAAATATCGGCATCCCGAATCGGAATTCCGAAACGGAATCCTCAAAACGGAATTCCGTATGTATGTGGCCGGCCTTAGAGAATAGACGCTCTGAATAAACAGTACTTCTTTCCCGGCCGAATACCTTTGCCTAATATTCGGCTATTCGGCCAGGAAGCCCGCAGAATATTCGGTATTCGGCGTGTGGCCGAATATACTATTCGTTGCAAGTCTGGTCTAAATATTGAAAAATCCAAATTATAATAACGTTTCAGAGGTCCTAATGGTCCCATACTATATTTTCAACTGGTTTCGTACGTTTGTTTTCATTTCTCGTATGATGGAAGAAATTATGTCCACACTAAACCACTTTAATTTAACGTTTAAATAAATCTAACAAAGCCGTCTCGGGTGTGGTGGGTTCACATTAGTTTGTATGCACACTATTTTTCAAACCATCCAGATCATTATTTTTGCACTTATTATCCTCATGTATATGTTCTGATGTTATTCTATATTTTATACCTAAATTATTAAATAAATACCCCTCCCCTCTAAGTGGTAGGAGCTCCATGTTCAGCTGTAGATTTTTGATCGGCTGCAATAAATTAATGAATAGATTTCTAAGACGCACAATATTTCTCCCGTGGTTTTCCTTCACCTCTGAGCATGCTGAAGTTACAGCGTTTTTACGCCCCGTTACTGCACTCTTCTTTCAAAGGTGATGGAGCAGCTAGCGATTGTGTGTGATTCAAATGTCAGGATTTTTCTTTATTGTATATGGGTGACAAACGAGCACACAGTTTATGATGTCCTGATGGTAAATGGATGCTGTGGGCCATAGACGTCTGCATTTCTCCCTAATTGATAATCAAAATACAGATACGTTGTCAGCCCTGACGATTAAGACGGAATGCCTCGTTTCCAGTAAAAAGAGTCTCCGGATCTCTACACTCACCATACGAAACACAGCAGCATTAAGCTGCTATTTTACACTGGTATTCTGTGAGAGCGTGGTCCTTCCCCGGTCGAGCCGACTTATTTGTGCTACTACTATAATAGCGTGGTTCAACTACTTATAAATAGTTTATTTCTTAGTCATTCATGTTCTCCTTTGATAATGCTTTAAGTCCACATTGAAATTTCGAAGAAACTATTCCACTGGTTGCCGGTTCAGTAGAAAAATCTGCCAGAACATCACATAAGACGTAAAACACCCAGACCGGTGACAGGCGGCACGTCAAAGGTGCTCACGTCTGGTGCGATCGTCCATTATGTTTTTATATAATAACGATGACAAACGAGCACACAATCCCACATGATGTAAGTGGGATGCTGTGGTCCTAAACATCTACATCTATCCTTGATTAACTACACTTACATTTTTGTCATTCATGTTTTGAATGCAATACTCTGTACAAAGTGACTAATATGACAGCTAACGGATTAAGAATCGAAATGCAGATGCGTCGTCACCCCTGAGAACTAAGATGGAATGCCATATTCAGTAAAAAGGGTCTCCGGTTCTCTACACTCACGAAAGGAAACAGCGGAATTAAGCTGCTATTTTACGCTGGCATTCTCTGAGAGCGTGGTTATTCCCCGGTCGAGCCGACCTATTCATGCTACTACCATAATATAACTGCAGGATGTCTCCACCACGTATAAAAGTTACTAATATTCTTATTAATGTTTAACTTTCTTGCTATTTTCAGAAGGCACGCGCCATATTTCGGCCAGCCAGACTACAGAGTGTACGAACTCAATAAACGATTACAACAGAGGACAGAGGTGAGTTCTTGGATTGTATTTAAGTAGTGGTAGACCTTTAACGCTTATAGCGGGTATAAAGAATATCCACTACCTCATATCATCTCGTGGGTGTCGTAAGAAATGACAGAGGGAAACTGAAGAAGGTGATGGTCATCAACATCTTTCTGATAACATCAGACAACAACTATAGCAAAATCACCCCCCTCCCCCTCGGTTTTTTGACATACAATAATGAATGAATAAATGATGTGATGTCCGTCGACACTCATCGGGACAGTGCCTGTAGACTCTTTCCTCTTTCTTATTTCCTGGTACTAGACAGTGCTACATAATTTATTGCGTACCTCCCTTCTTACTATTATTGTAGTCAAGCAGCATCGTGCACCGTACATGTTGTAGAGAGAGATCCGGAAACCCTTTTTTATTAGAAAACGAGGCATCCCATCTCAAGTCCTTAGGGGTTTTTTTTTTTTGCATGGGGAAATGCCTACGCATACCCGCCTCGCGGGCGCAAGGACGGGTTATGTCGGACTCGCACCGACTAAAACCCCATGGTGTTCCACCTTTGTCGCATATTGGCAGGGCTACGGGAACGCTTTCGCACACATCCGCGGCCCTACTAGCGCCTGCCGCCCCATGGCAGCACCTCCTCGGGAGAGGAAAATTCCTCCCCGTTCTCCTTCCCAGGTAAGGCGCACCAGAACACATGGCGCGTCTTCCTCCACGGCCTCCAACTACGTCTGTGCAACAGACGCCCCTGCGTCCGATGCACAAAGGCCATGGGGCCAGGAAAAACGAGCACTTAGAAGTACTAGCCTTCCCGACCCCAGCGGCGGATCTGGTCTATGGCTCCGCCGCCAACCAAGATTCGGCTGCGGAGGGTAGGGAGAGCGGCGCCTCGCAATACCGACAATCCTCTCCCCCCGCAGCCCCACCACCACAGCATCAACGGTGCGGCCCCGTTTGAGTCGCGAAGGATAGGGCGAGTGGCGCATCGCCATACCAACACTCCTCTTCCTCCGCGACTCCACCTCGGCTGCAGCGGTAGAGGGTGCGCGAGTCCCCACTCGCTGCAGTCCACCAGCACACATCCGAAGTGGGCTCCCCAAGTCCACTCGGAGCAGCCACCTCAGGCCGGTCCTTCACCTCGGGCCAGCCACGTGGGTTCCTCTTTGTTCACCGTGGGAGACCAAGCCACGGCTACTAAGCCCCCCCGCCACGACAAGGCGGGAACCCGTTCGGGGGGAAGTCCTTAGGGGTGACAACGCATTTGCGTTTTCATTCTTAATCGAGATTAAATGTAGATGTCTATGGGCCACAGCATCCACTTACCATCAGGTGGACTGTGTACTCGTTTGTCACCCTTATTCTAAAAAAAATACAGTGCATTCCAATCTAGGGAATAGAGAACCATTACAAATATAGGCTGTGAAGCATTCTGTCTTAGTCCTCACAGGTGTACGCATCTGTAACATCTGTAACGTTATTTGTTAGAAGTTGGCTGCAGGAGTCCAAGGGCTGCATTAACCGCTCACTATTAGATGAACTCTAAGTTAGTTCGTCACAGTTTTATTTCAAACAAATATAAATATTAAACTAACACATACGTTTGACGGCTCCGGGGCGCAACTTTACAAAGCGCAAGTTAGGCCTCACATGGAATACGAATACCCCAGTGCCAGCTCCTTTCACTTTGACCGCACACGACCGACGACCGTTCCTTCTGATCGGCTCGATTCACTGGCGTAGGGATGTTGCATCCCTTTGCATTTTCTATCGCATCTACCACGGGGAGTGCTCTGAGGAATTGTTCGGATTACTTCCAGCCTCCAAATTGCACGAACGCACATCGCGTCAAATTCACGATACCATCCTCACCGTCTGAATGCTTGGCGGTCCGCCACAGTGCGTTTTACTGGGAGTTTTCTTCCTCGTACAACTTCTCTGTGGAATTGTTTTCCGGGCCAATACGGCTTCAAGGGACCTTCAAGAAAAGAGCTTACTTCTTTCTAAAAGGCCGGCAACGCATCTGCTATTCCCTGGTGTTGCGGTTGATCATGGGCGGCGGTAGTCACTTACCATCAGGTGAGCCGCATGCTCGTTTGCCCCCTCTTCTATAAAAAAATTAGCTTGACATGCGGCGTTAAGGCCCGCAGGTTCGAATCCCGCACGTAACAAGTATTTGTGCGGCCTACAACGTCGCTAACACTGCAAAGAGGCTAACCTAAATTTGCAAAAAAAAAAAAAAAAATACAGGAGAGCAAGAAAACATTTATTATTCCACGATTACTAGCTTCTTTTCATCAAAAAATTAAAAATGTTAGATTAAATAGTAAATTTTACAGCACGCGAGTAACACGAGTTCGATTCCATTCCCGCCGACATCAATGGATTTGTTAATTACAATTTTTACTACTGATTTACCACGTGCTCAGCGGTAAAGAAAAACATCGTATGGAAAACTGCATGCCTGAGAAATAAGAAAAAAAAATATTTCGAGGACATGTGAAATTCACCAACACTCATCGTGGCAGCGCGGCGCAAATTTCCTTGCCCTAAAACCCTCTCAGCAATGAGAGGAGGCCTGTGCCCAGCATTGGGACGTATATACGCTGTAACTTTACTTTCAAGCACTTGTTTACTCACAGCCCTGCAGCGCAGTAAAAAGTGATGAAATAATCTATTTTTGAGATCATTGTATCTCTCGCCAATACTTTCGCTAAGAGTAGCAGCATATCTTAATACGTGAGAAAAGATCCACAGGACCAGCTATCAATTTTTAAGGGGCTGATAACGTGTTATTACTGATCAGGATAATATAAACTTAACATAATAACATAAACACTTACGCCTGTCACCCAGAGGCAGTGACTATGGACTTCCACTTGGCACGATCTTGAGACACCTCTCTCTCGCTTTCTTCACATCCATATACCTACTCATACATGCTCGTCGGTTAAGGGTACTCTTAATTTGGCCCATTTTCAATATATCGCCAATTTGATCGATAAACTTTCGTTGATTAAAACTACTTTTACGGATTTTATATATTTTAAACAATTTTTATTTTTTATAGAATAGGGTGACAAACGAGCACACAGTCCACCTGATGGTAAGTGGTTGCTATGGCCCATAGACATCTACATCTATCCTCCATTAAAAAACAAAATGCAGAGCGTTGTCACCCGTGAGGACTGAGATGGAATGCCTCGTTTCCAGTAAAAAGGGTCTCCGGTTCTCTACACTCACCATACGAAATACAGCAGCATTAAGCTACTATTTCAGGCTGGTATTCTGTGAGAGCGTGGTCCTTCCCCGGTCGAGCCGATCCATTCGTGCTACAACTATACTACTAATATAACTGCAGCATGGCTCTACCACGTATAATGTATAGTGTACTCTACAATGTATAGTGTTCGCGTAAATATAAGAAATCATTAAATAAACTTTCGCTTAGGGCGTCCCTTTCCGACTCTGCCGTTCACTTCTGCAACATGGGTTTGCTTTGTCACTCTTTCCTCATTTATTCTTTTTTCATGGCCAAACTACACTTATAAACTTAATTTGTGTTTTTTTTTAAATTCCAGGACTCTGATAACCTATGGTGGGACGCGTTCGCGACAGAGTTCTTCGAGGACGACGCGACGTTAACCCTCACATTTTGTTTAGAAGATGGACCCAAAAGATATAGTGAGTATATAAAATTATAGTACTTTTATTAAGTTGAATATTTAATAAACTTCAAGATCAATAATGGAATGGAATTCTCACCATGTGTCAGAAGTCGGTGCAAGAACTTGTGTATATAAGTACATAATTCCCAACTTCACAAGTTGTTTATTATATAACAGTAAATTATTCTTTTTAAGGTTATCAATTCCGCTTTACATTTATTTTACGTTTAGCTCAAATGTCATCTTAATCATTATATTTAAAACTTTACCCCTATTTTGTTTTCTTCTAATTTTCTACAAACTTATAGGTATATAATAGACATGTGTCAATCATTCATTTCTCTTGACCGAATTATTCTAGTACATTTCGTCACGCGTACCCTACCCTAAAAACAATTCATTCAGATCATTCGGGATTCGGTCGGTTTTCGACTCATTCACAATTCACACCAATCACGAGTTAAAATGTTTCGTAAATTGTTTGTGATTGGTTGTACCGATACATTCAAAAACAGATAAATGAACCATCAATACTTTTAAGTGTACCAGCTCAAACGAACGAACGAATCATTCATGATTGACGGGTGTCTAGTATATAATAAAAAGAAACATAAAAGTCGGTTCACATTTGACGAATATATCTCGTAACATACATACAGTCAAATTGAGAACCTTTTCCCTTTTTTTTAAAGTCTGCTAAAACTGAACTGGTTTTTCAATCCTCGTAATATTAAACTTTAAATTATAAGACAAAGTTGCTGTTATCGTCACGCTTAACAGAACGCTCGATCAGTTTCTCGCAAATTTGACGTAGCTGTTTCTATCTGGTTGTTTTATATATTACAATAAACCTTTGTTGTACATTAAGATAACAAATAACATAACAAGAATATGTAGAAAGATTTTATACCTGGTAGGGCCATGCGGCAGCCATATTCGTATTATATTTGTAAGCACGTATGGGTCGCCCCGACCGGGGAAGGACCACGCTCTCACAGAATACCAGCGTAAAATAGCAGATTAATACTGCTGTTTTTCGTATGGTAAGTGTAGAGAACCGGAGACCCTTTTTACCGGAATCGAGGCATTCCATCTTAGTCCTCGATATCGACAGTTCTAGTTTGAACTGATCAGTTGGAATGATCAGTTGAACTGACCGTGAGTGTCGTCCATTTAGGTGATGGGTTAACTTCCGCCACCCTCGCAAGCTAACCCTGGTGTCTTCTTTTAATTATAATCTAATGTTTAAAAATCAATGTATGTTTTTTCGTATTTTATGTGTTGCCATACCGTTTATCAGATTGCGCTAAAATTTTGTCAATTTATTTCTTGTACTTGCGCGAAAGTTATAGGCATAGTACAAATAACTTTCAGTAAATGGTGCGCGTATCGCACCGACAAATTTATTTCAAAGATATATATCATACAATTTCAATGAATGTATTACATATCACACATAAACAATATAACACTTCCAAATTTAAAATATTTTCACGATTATTTCATCTGCGGCAGCAATGCGTCGTGCACCAGCTAGTTCTTTATAAATATAATAATCCTTGTGTACGTGTGTTAGTCACTCAACTCTTTCAACGGCTGCTTAAACAAATACAATTTATTATAATTTTTCTAAAAAAAATATGGAATATGTATTTACATTAACTTATTATACATATTTAATATATATGGTATTCTATAGACTAGTAAAGGAGTCTGGTCGGTCTACTCTCCGGTGGGTTCGAATCCCGTGTGTCGAGTCAAAGCCAGTTACCGTGTTTTCTGTCGAGTATAATTAGTCAAGGTAGATCATCTTGATGAATTTTTTTAGTATATATTTGAGTGGATCTCTGTATGGATTAGATTCACACTTGTACCCGGTAGGTGGCGCTGTTGTCGAAATCCAGAAATCACTCAGGACGGATCGCTGAATAATAAAAATGTTTGCGATGACAAACAATATACCTAATGACGTCATGGGCTTCTAAATATTAGGCAATTATTTGTTTTTTATTTTTATTGCCAGCCCCTAATAGTCCACTCCTGGATAAGGCCTCCCTCAGTGTAGGAAGAATCTGCGCCCTCCTTTCACCCAATGAGGGTCGCGTCCGTTTACGGCTTAAAGATCTCTTGCTAGATCATTAAGCCAATCCCAAAAGGTGGTGTTTAGTGGATAAAAGTCTCCACATAAGCACGCAGCCGGCTGCGTGGTATGCTATGAGCATTCACCGCCTCCCTCCCGCCGTTACCGGAGGGTTGCACTTATTTGCTTCGGACGCAAAAAGAAGTAGGGAGAATTCGACATCTCAGTAATGCAGTAGCTTATGCCACCCGTACTATAATATATAGTATCATTCTATATTTCAGTCAATTGTACTATATGTTATGAAAAAATTATAAAATACTGAAAAATATTATATTTTTATCCCTAATTCAATTGTCACGCTTTTTTTTGTTAACTGTGATTGGAAGTAAGTTTTACGGATATAATTTTTTCCATCATTAATGTAAAATTGAGAGAAGAAATCAATAAAGCATGTATATATTCATTTAATTAAAATGATTTGTTACTTTATTTTAATATGAATCTAAATTGCTCAGACTCCTATAATTATTTTAAAGGTAATAGATCATTCATGACCAAAACAAAGAACAATAACAAATATATATGCAAAAATACATAAAGATTAAAAATAAATGTGTACCTTTTTCTCCTGAATTTCTCTATAAAAAGTACTATATTTTTGCATCTTTTTTTAGAAAAATACTATATTTGTTTAAAAAAAAAGTGGCAACCCTACTTAGCATTGTATTACGACGTTGAGGGACCGAGTTTGAATCCCGCATGGAATAAGTAAGTATCCTGGAATAAGTATATGACATACAACACATAATTGTTTCGGGTCTGGATATTTTTCCTTTGTTAATTTATACATGTAATCTGTCATCAGTATGTACAGGGAAAAATACGAGTGTTTTTTTAATAAATAAAAAAAGTATTTTGTTTGGTAGATGGATTTTCGATCGCAGAATAAGTGTATCCAAAACCATCCAGCTATAAATTTGAAATCAGGTCTGAAAGAGAAAGTAACAAATACAATATATTTATGAATTTCAGCGATAGGAAGGACGCTCATACCGCGGTACTTCCGCAGTATATACGAGGGCGGCGTCTCGGAGCTGTACTACACGATGCGCCAGCCCAAAGAGTCCTTCCACAACACGAGCATCACGCTCGACTGCGACCACTGCACGATGGTCACGCATCACGGGAAGCCAATGTTCACAAAGGTGAGCTGCTTGCGCGGTATGCTAGCCTGGTACTTTGTTTCATGACTACTGCAAGCATTTATTATTTTATTTTTTTCGTGAGATCTGAGGGAATCCACTCGATGTCGGTTTTTTGGCACTTGTAAAAGGAATACTCGTTATATTCGTATCGGTGTTTCTTATTAAAGTGAACTATTAACTTTTAAATTTAATAAAAAAAAAATAAATAAAAATATCAGTTTTAGATAAATATTAATGAAAATAAATATTTCATCATCATCATTACAACCCTTCACAAGTCCAATGTTGAACCTAGGCGCCGCCCCCAAGGAATCTACAAAGCACTGTCCTGCATCCATCGACTTCCTACATGTATTACGAGGTCGTCGCTATACGTGAATGAATATTATAGACGAATATGTAAACGCGTCGTTCTCGTCCACGAATAATTCGGCGAGTTTCTCGTGCCGATAATCCAAACGTGCCATTAGAGTTAAAACCAAGTAATATGTAAAACACGGAGGGATGAGGGTTGGTAATAAATAATCTTCAGCTGACCAGATGGGCTTGGAGTTGGGACTGGGGTGAAGTTATTTATTATACAATGTCATTTTAATTGAGAAGTGGCGTTTTAAATAAAAGGTTATGACTTTCTGGAGTACTTAGGTAAATATACAAGACAATGCTTCAGTGGTTTACTTTTTAATTTTTCTATATATCTATAAATCTATAAACACTCACGCCTGTCACCCAGAGGGGTAGGCAGAGACTACAGACTTCCATTTGGCACGATCCTGACACACCTCTCTTGCCTCCTTCACATCCATACACCTACGCATACATGCTCGTCCGTTGAGGGGTACTCCTAATTTGGCACGTTTTCAATAAATCGCCAATTTGGTCGATAAATTTTCGCCTAGGACGTCCCTTTCGACTCTGCCATTCACTTCTGCACCATAAATTTTCTTTGTCACTCTTTCCTTATTCATTCTTTCCACATGACCAAACCACCGAAGCATTCCTTTCTTAATCTTGGTCACAACATTATCTTGCAAACCACACTCTTCTCTTATTACACAATTTCTTACCCTGTCATTCAGATTCAGCCCTAACATACTCCTTAACGATCGCATTTCTACTGCGTTTATTCTACTCTCGTGCTTCTTCTGCCACACCCAACTTTCACTACCATACGTTAAAGTAGGGACCAACACAGCGTTGTGAATTGCCATACGTGCCTTTTTCGACACATTTTGACTCTTCACAATAGAGTGCGAGGCCCCATTTACTCTATTTCCCGCATTCACTCGTCGTTCTATATCCTTATCTTTTTAATTTTTGACCTGACAAAGTCTAATAAAGCTCCGTTCGGATCTACCAGCACGTAGCGAGCCCAGCACGTAACGTGGCAGACACCGCACCGACAACAGTATTCACATCTAGCGCACCCGGCGTGAACAGACGCCATCGGGCAAACTATAAAGTGCACGTGCGTACCATGTGTCGCAATTTTTCGATAGAAGAACTAGCCGCGTGTCGGCGCGGCGATCACATTCACACTAGCCGCGCGACTGCAACAGACACGCGCAGGACGCACCAGCACAGGCAAAACATTCTTTATAGAATCAGGCGTTACTTTGCGGAAATCGAATAATAAAGATATTAATAGTTACTTTGCAACCATCGACTAAATTAAATGTCCCTAGTTCGCTTCGCTCGCTCGTGCAGCGCTCTCGCTCCGATCGTAACGTTACACTGAGCGTAACGTTACAATGAGTCATTCTTTTTCGTGCGCGCAGCCAGCGTTCATCGATTAAAGCTCCGTTCAGATATCTACAGATACTGAGCGTTCAAGACACGTGGCGTGGCAGACAAAATAATATTCTTTTATACACTTTAAATGGATATATTCACATCTGGCGCACGCAAGCGGAGCGTGTCCGCGCAAACACGTGTGTTGGGTAGTGGTGTTGGGAGTAGTGTTGCTGGGATTGGTGGTGACGGGATTAGTACACGCAATTGAGGGAGAGTGGGAGGTGCTTTTCAAACTAGGGAAGACACATCATTGTATTTAATTGAGAGCAAAGTAACTATTAATATCTTTATCAAAACATTCTTATTGAGAATACTGACCGGTGTCAGCCCGTGTTTGCGCGGACACGCTCCGCTTGGTTGCGCTAGATGTGAATATATCTATTTAAGGGGAAATATAATCTCAAATGGCTTAGCAAGATCCTTCGTTATGCCGAAAATATTGCAGCATTAATTTTGAAATAAATATATGGTAAAGTTGAGGATTAATGTTAAGGATTATGTTAGACGAAAACACGATTTCGTAAAATTTTCTCGATAGAAAAAAAATCCAAAGTTACCTCCAAAATAAACAATAAACCGCTGTTATTCATAAAATACTTTAAATAAGATCATAAAACTTTGCATACTAACTGAACTAACTATAAAGCAGTGCTTATGTTATTTACTTTTTTTAAAATACCATTATTTTCACTGTAAAAAGAAATTACCTAAACTATCGGCCACTTGAAGCGTGATTCCTACCGCACGGCGCACGGTCACTTCGCTTCGGCCTTTGAACGGGGAGGTTGTGTCGCTTACGATCAGAATATACATTAGGAAACAGGACGACGTGAAATTAATATAGGAAATAACCGTAATAAAAATAAGAAGCGACTGGTTTGGCGTTAAGAAACAGGCATAAATATGATAAACTTAATGAAATAAGTGTCTAACGACCTTTCTACTTTCAGTATTAGTGATTACAAACATGTCGTTACATAGCATACGACGCGCGGGAAAGTGGGGACGAAATTAGAATTTGAACTGACTTACTCTATCCCCTTAAAGTGTATAAAAGAATATTATTTTGTCTGCCACGCCACGTGTCTTGAACGCTCAGTGTCTGTAGATATCTGAACGGAGCTTTAATCGATGAACGCTGGCTGCGCGCACGAAAAAGGATGACTCACTGTAACGTTACGCTAAGTGTAACGTTACGATCGGAGCGAGAGCGCTGCACGAGCGAGCGAAAGGCACGATCGACTTTGAGCATTCAGCTTGCGCTGCATCTATCTCTCTTCCACAAAGTATGCAATAATTTCATCAATTTTTTGTTATGACGTTGTCACGTTAAACTATAGTCCGTAAGCCGACTTTACAGACAACCCACTTTTTATTATTTTCGGAATATCTGTACTTTGCATTTTACATTTCTAATTTAATTAATATAAGATATATATAACTAGTATTTTAGAAAGAAACATTAACACTTGAATATTCCTAATAACTCTTGACTTCCTACTCCATGAAATCTGTCAAATATTTCACTTTGCCCTCTTGCAAAATGAATTTGCCACATGCAGGCTGCCACATATTTTTCATTTAGAAAATAGAGAATAAAAATAACGTGCGCTATACTTGTGAATAAGGTTGTGCTAGTCTGCTCAGTTTTACTATGTACTGATAAGCTCCAGAAATTAAGAAAGAAAGATAGTTATGCATTTATTCCACTTTAACACGAAGGCACAAAAAATAAAAAGTATTAATAGTTAAATAGATTAAAACGAAGTTTTCACCAAACTTGTATAAACTTAAAATAATTCTAAGATCCATTTTGCAGTTATATATGCAGCTATGTATATTGTATAGCTAGCACAGCTGCAGTGTTTCGTGTTCTTTGTTTTTTAATAATTTACCTGTTAATCAAAATTTACGATATCCTTATGTTTCCAGGTGTGCACGGAGGGTCGGCTGATCCTGGAGTTCACGTTCGATGACCTGATGCGAATTAAATCTTGGCACATGGCGGTACGAGCGCACCGCGAGCTGATCCCGCGGCAGGCGGTGCACCCGCCGGACCACGCCGCGCTCGACCAGCTCGCCAAGAACATCACGCGCCAGGGCATCACCAACTCCACGCTCAACTACCTCAGGGTGAGCACACACCATACGAACCGCTCATCGCGCACAATACACAACACAACACAAATTCAATACACAAATATATTATGCTTGATATACAAACGGTAATGCGCTGAATAAAACGCTGAATGCTTCATACATCACAAATAATGCCTAATACAAAACTTTTCAAGAACAATACACAACATATCGCACACAAATACTAATACACAAACATATCACGCTCATAATGATTTCTTATATTTACGCTCATAATGATTTCTTATATTTACGCTCATAATGATTTCTTATATATTTTCTTATATTTTTTCCCGCATCAAGCTTGCAAGCTTGATTGTGAATGTGGTCTCTCTTATATAGGACAAATAAAAAGATCAATTAGGACCCGCGTAAAAGAACATATAGCTGATGTGAAGCATCAACATTCCGGGAAGTCTGCAGTTTGTGATCATATCCTAGACGGACCCAACCATTACATCAGATTTGATGACCATAAATCCTCACGAAAGAACACCGATTCCTACCAAGGATGATACGTGAGGCTATTGAAATTAAAAAACATCCTAATTTCAATAGAGAAGGAGGCTGGGTACTACCACCTGCTTAGGATCCTATAATCAATAAAATTAAAACTAAACCCAAGCATACCACTGCAAGACCTCAGGACATAGTCAGTTCATTTTGCATAGATCGGACCATAAACAATAATTAAAAAAGCTGAAGGTACTCCAGGTTTAACAATGACATCAGGACGTCAGTCATCTCAGTGCCCCGTGACCAAGGGTGCTGGAAAGCGCCCGAAACGTCGGGAATCAAAAATAAAAGTAAATAAAAAAATAAAAATAAACGCGATAAAATCCGTAAAAGTAGTTTTAATCATATCACGCTCAGTACATAACAATATCACACTTAAAACACAACAGTTTCACGCTGAATATATAACACATTATACACATATTGCTTATTATGCACAAATAAAATGCACAAACATATCACGCTGAATGAAAAACGATTCACGGTCATTACACAACGGTATCACGCTGAATATATCACGTTACCCATAATGCCTCTCATACAAAACTTATGCATAATACACAACATATCACGCTCAATACATAGGGCACATTAAATGTTTTAATGCTGAGTGGTACACTACCATTTGTTTACCATTCTCTTTGAAAGGGTTAGGAAAAAGAAATTCCAAAAAGTCGCATCCTATTGCATTATGTCATGACTCATGACAATGCTTTGGATCAGACCGCTAAGACAAAATAATTTTTGGTTTTTAAAAAAGGAACTCGATATCCATCTGAATATATACATACATATTTCAGACCTCAGACCATGCCTTTTATTTACATACTCATAAATCAAAGATTTGATGAGATGTTTGACATATACGGACCCAGAAGATGCCATGATGGCTTTTAATCAGCATGTCAAAATCCCGTCAAAAGTGCTTAAAACTATTCTTAGTTTAAAAAGTAGTAAGTATATTAGTTTACGTATAAATTGTTTTGTTTAGGAGTTACGCAAAATTTTTGGTATACCCCATGTACACAATGTTTCTCACAGATCTCATGATGTATTTGGCACCACGTACATTTATCACATACCAATCACAATGCACAATTTACAATGTATCAAACAAAATTCAAAAGTAAATCCTAGTTTTTAACCGATTTCAAAAAAGAGCAGGTTCTCAATTCAAATGTAAGTTATGTTTTTGTATGTGTGTTACTCGATATGTTCGCAGATTGCGAAGCGATTTAAATATTTTTTTTTATTAAATAGGCTTAACCGCAAGGGCGGTCAGATTAAATTTTGAAGAAATAATTCCGCCCCCAAGAGCGGAAAATAAGGGAAAAGTTTCATATTGGACTATTGTTTAAGGAACTTCATATCATATCTTTTTTAATGATTCTTTTTTTCTTAAATATTTTATACTTCAAGGGTAGGTCTCATATAAATTTGTAGAAAAACCTCCACCTTCATGGGTTGAAAATAAATAGCTTCCTTTTTAGCAATTTGAAGTTGGTTTTATTGGTTTTACTTTTGGTTAAAAGTTATAATTGTATTTAATTATATTAACATATCGTAGAAAGTGTTATGAATCCTTCTTGTCTAGGAGTCTGTCTGGGTGGATCTCACCATTACTGTGCTCACAAACAGAAGTGCATCTTCTGCTGTGTTCCGTTCTGAAGGGTATAGAGGGCAAGTTTAAGAGTTTTATATGTGGTAGAGCCATGCTGCAGTTATATTATAGTATAGTTGTAGCATGAATGGGTCGGTTAGACCAGGGAAGCACCATGCTCTCACAGAATACCAGCGTAAAATAACAGCTCAATGCTGCTGTGTTTCGTATGGTGAGTGTAGAGAACCGGAGACCCTTTTTACTGGAAACGAGGCATTCCATCTTAGTCCTCACGGGTGACAACGCATCTGCATTTTGATTCGTAATCGAGGAGATATGTAGATGTCTATGGGCCACAGCAACCACTTACAATCAGGTGGACTGTGCACTAGTTTGTCACCCTATCCTATAAAAAAAAGTATAATTACAAGCTGAGACATTCCATCTTAGTCCTAATCGAGCTTAAACTCTGACATGCCGGTTTGTTTACGATTTTTTCCTTCACCATCGAGCATGTGGTAAAACTTCAATTAACAATTTTATCGGTGCCGGCTGGTATTGAACCTGACATATATGGGAACAAAAAAAGAAAGAAAAACAATATATTTGTTTGATTTGAGACCTACTCTACTCCTCTTCTGAATTAGATTGAAACACGCCTATTAGCGACTCTAATGGGGTACACATATTTCTATTCTAAAAGTAAGTTTGACAAACAACCATACATTCCACCTGCTGGTTGGTTAATGCTGTGACCCGTAACCCCTACCTATCATCAATTAATTAATTAAGAATCAAAATGTGTTCTCAGTATCATTAAGGGGAAATATAATGTCAAATGGCTTAGCAAGATCCTTCGTTATGCCGAAAATATTGCAGCATTAATTTTGAAATAAATATATGGTAAAGTTGAGGATCAATGTTAGTGATTATGTTAGACGAAAACACGATTTCGTAAAATTTTCTCGATAGAAAAAAATTCCAAAGTTACCTCCAAAATAAACAATAAACCGCTGTTATTCATAAAATACTTTAAATAAGATCATGAAACTTTGCATACTAACTGAACTAACTATAAAGCAGTGTTTATGTATGTATATTTTCACTGTAAAAAGAAATTACATAAACTATCGGCTTCTTGAAGCTTGATTCCTGCCGCCCGGTTAGTTTCGCTTCGGCCTTTGTAGGGGGGTTGTGTCGCTTACGATCAGAATATACATTACGCAACAGTACGACGTAAAATTAAAATGGGAAATAACCGTGATAAAAATAAGAAGCGGCTGGCTTGGCTTTAAGAAACAGGCATAAATATGATAAGCCTAATGAAATAAGTGTCTAACGACCTTTCTACTTACAGTATTAGTGATTACAAATATTTCGGTACATAGCATACGACGCGCGGGGAAGTGGGGGCGGAATTAGAATTTGAGCTGACTTACTCTAACCTCTTAAAAAAAGTATCTCCGGTTCTTTGCACTAACCATATGAAACACAGCAGTGTCAATCTGATATTTTAGGTTGGTATTGTGTGAGACTTGAGTCCTTTCCTTGTCGAAGCAGTCTATTCACGCTACATCTATAATATATGTTATAAATATATTTGAATTCAATGCCGAAATTGGATAAATAAATCACTTATTGAATTAACGCAGTATCCATGAAAAATGTCACTTACAATACAGACGGACACTATGATGATTTCATAAGTATTTTATTATACCAATTAATCATCTCAATCATTAATTTTTAATAACTCATAGCCTACCACTGCTCTTGGCAAATTTTCACTTCACACAAGCAAACACAATAAGATATACAGGGTTATTTTGCAATAACCGGCCAAATTTGAAGACAAGGTTCAGCGTAAGTATATTACTTATTCTGAACAAATGGTGAAGAAAATAAATAAAAATGTCAAATACTCAGTCCTTTTTATGTTTTAAATTTGAAATGCGTGATAATGCATAACTAATTTTACTGCTAATGCACACATTCGTAAGGATCGATCGGTAGGCAAAAACGTTGTTGCCCATAAATCATATTCCATTTGGGATGATCTCAAATAAAAGTAGAACCCTTATTTACTTGTAATTTCAAAAAAGGCAATAATGGTATATTTTTATATTTGAACTTAAGTTTAAAATTTGGCTACTCTTTGAAAAATAGGAATATATATACCCTATACAATAGGAAACTGGTAGCATAATGAATATTAATAATGTTGGTTGGTCCACAGCTGTGCGTGATCCTGGAACCAATGCAGGAGCTAATGTCGCGACACAAGGCGTACGCGTTGTCGCCTCGCGACTGCCTCAAAACGACGCTCTTCCAAAAGTGGCAGCGAATGGTCGCGCCTCCAGGTTAGTTATGTGCTCCTAGTACCCACTCACAGTTTGTTCAACGGATGGATGGATGGATTATATAATATTAAGTCAGTCATTGCTACAGAGCTAAAAATACCTTGGATTGCCAAGGTCGCCACTCGAGGTAATTGGTAATGTGAACTTACTGAGATTCCTCGAGGAGCATGGATGGCTTAAAATAATATTTGAAACACATTTACCGTATTAAGTACAATAAAAACTAAATCTGTGCGTTCTTTCTATTGTGTTAGTATTATAGAATTTGACTACATTTGACATGATAAAATCTACCAAAAATAAGACAGGGCGTGTGTTATTTTAAATTAGACAATCTCTACATCTTAAAATATAAAAAATATCATTGAAAATGTAGTTGTAACAACATTATTTGATCTGTCTTGGGTTCGCCTCAATAGGATCTAGTTATGTTGCATTATTTATTTTATTAGTTTTTCGTATTTAAAAAAAACTTCGAGTTTTCATGGTAAAATAAAGCCTAGGTCTGTTCTGGCATTGCTCCCTATCTATTCGTTAAAATTCATCACAGTCGGTTCAGTCACTCTGAAGATTAGCCTGGGCAGACAGACAAACATAAACACGAAAAATTATTTTTTTTTGAAGGGTACGGTGACAAACGAGCACACAGTCCACCTGATGGTAAGTGGTTGCAGTGGCCCGTAGACATCTACGTCTATCCTCGATTACGATTCAAAATGCAGATGCGTTGTCAGCCTTGAGGACTAAGATGGAATGCCTCGTTTCCAGTGAAAAGGGTCTCTGGTTCTCTACACTCACCAATATGAAACACAGTAGCATTAAGCTACTATTTGACGCTGGTATTCTGTGAGAGCGTGGTCCTTCCCCGGTCGAGCTGACCCATTCGTGCTACAACTATACTACTAATATAACTGCAGAATGGCTCTACCACGTAAAATCGTTATCTATAACAAAAATCGTTATGTATGCCTGAGCATCAAAGAAGCCAGTTATTTATTATCATCACCAGACACTTCAATTATATTTATATGTGTATAGATTAATATATAACTAGTGATCCGATAATCGGATGCATATTTACCTAAAGTTTAGGTGTTAGCTATTATGGAATGCACTTTGCTTTTGTATCGAAAAAACCCCGGGATTTCTTTTAAATTTAGTAATTTTTTACTATAGAATTAAATTGGGTGTAGTTATATTTACTTATTTTAAGGTGTTGGATAATATGGAATGCAATTATGTATCGAAAAAATCCCGGGATTTTGGAATCGACAAATTTACTGTTTTTATTATAGAATGCCAAATCGGGTGCAGGTATATTTACTTATTTTAACTTTTATATATAAAAAAAAAATAACTTCCTCTTAATTTTTTAAATTAACACCCACTGTTTTTTATATATGCATATTATATGTACACAAATACTACATGCTGCAGTCGACGTTTCCTCACCATGGCGCAGACTATTGTCGCGTTTCCGTATCTTCTGGAATCCCTGGATTTATATTTAAAAAATATGTTTTAAAAAGCCGCTTCCATATGCATCCGATTATCCAATCACTATTTATAACATGCAAAATAAACAAGGCGTAAGGTGCATTCTCAACCCTGAGGACTAAGATGAAATGCTAACAATAACGGTTACACCAAAAGTCTAGTGCCGAACATAGGCTCACCCCGTAGAGACAGATTAGGTATATTTTCGACTTTTACAAATACTGCCTCATCGGGGGATACTTGTCAAAGTTGGCACACTTGGTTCGTGGGTTGGCATCTGCAGTTTATTTTTATTTTGAAGTTAAACTTCTCTACGCACACTTGTCTTGGGCGAACGCGTGGCGAAAGCGTTACGAAAAGTGTGATCGGGCTAGGCGAACGGGAGTTGAGTGGGGGATATAAGCAAGAGAGAGCAGTGCTCGCGCACATTTTCTTTCTCTCTTTCTTATAGCCAGTTATTTTTCGTAATTTTATTTAGTTTTGAACAATTTTATGAATTAATGTTTTGTTCAATACATTAATTATTCTATCTTTAAAGTGAATAAAATTGTAAATTCATTTTAAAATTCATGTCTTGTAAATTTTCGGTTGAATAATAACAAATTATGGAAAGAAGCCGATAATAAATTTAAATATTTGTAGAAAATGAATATATGTATATGTGTTTACATGTATATATTATAACATTATTATATATGCAGAAGATGGAGCTAAATAGTTTTGCTTCAGTTGTGTGGTCATAAGCACACTCGCTTTTTAGTTGTTATAAGAATAAAGCTGCTACTCATCTCCTGGTTCATTTTACCTCTGCCACCTATTAAGACACTCACTCGCAAGCGCTTGTAAGCAAAATGGCGATCGTAAGCGGTAAGCGCTATCAAATCGTAAGCAGCTATTTTCCTCTAGGACACGAAGTTAGTTTTAACCGGGGAACCTAACCCAATTTAAATATATGTTTGTGAAGTATTCATATTAAAAACTTACCAATCATGAATTTTTAATAACATGTATATGTCTATTTCATGTCATTATATTACTTAAAACTAATATTGCAAAAAACAATTTATAAACTCTACTTCAAACCAAACAAATCAAACAGGTAAGCAAAATGGCAGATTGTGTCAGCGCTACTGAAGTTAGCAAACGTGTCCTGGCCGAAAACTTTTTAGTTTCGCCATTTTGCTTACAAGTGCTTGCTAGCGCTTTTTTCTGCCAAACGCAAAGACGTTTTGATAGTAGATGCTCTTAAACCGCCACTAAATGGTCAACACAAATACAAATGATTCACAAATTGTATTATTTCGTGGCCTGTGATTTAACCCTTCAGAAGCTGGGATTGTTTACGGGAAGAAAAGGAGTTTACTACTGCCTGAAAATGAAGAAAAATTTGTTTTTCTGTGCCATCATCCTTCCACTTCTATTACGATAATTCGAGTGTTTAGACATTTATCTGATAGTTCTTATTTTAATTTTTATAATATGGTAGTTGGTTATGTATGATTACTTGTGTATGACTACTTTAATGATTACAAGAAAGAAAAAAACAATTAACTGACTAAAAACCTCTCAGTATTCGGTATTCTGCTGTATAATACCTAGATATTCAGTATTCGACTGATTAATAGCCGTATATTCAATCTGACATATTTCTGTTTCGTCGACAGAGTCTCAACGGCCCGCAAGCAAACGGCGCAAGCGCAAAGGCAGTGCGGGCGCGAATGCAGCGCCGCCCGCGCCCACCAAAAAGCGCTCCCCCGGACCCAACTTCAGTCTCGCCTCGCAGGTACGACACGCTTGCGACACCGACACTACACGCATGCGACAACCATACCACTAGTATCTAACACCGATACAGATTTAACAGACACACTCAAGACTTTGTGAGAAGACTATAAAATACGTAACTAGCATGTGACGTACGAGGGCGGCACTGAAAATTTCGGGAATCAAGGAAGTGACACTACTACTATTTAAAAATGTATTTATTGCTTTTCGAAGTATTCTCCGCGAAATTTGACACATTTTTCCATACGATGAAACCAATCATTGAAGCAACCATTCCATTCGGAAGTTGGGGTCTCCAAATTGGCCGTTTTGTAGGCGTCTACAGCTTCTTCAGGTGATGAAAATCTCTGTCCACGCAATTTATTCTTTATTTTAGGGAAAGTATAGAAATCATTAGGGCTTAGGTCGGGGCTGTACGGCGGATGGTCTAATAATTCTATGTTTTCTTGCTCTAAAAAACTCTTTTGTTCTGTGTGCGGTGTGAGAACTCGCATTGTCGTGATGGAGGATGATGCGGCGGTTGCAGTTCTCTTTACGGAGTTCAGAAACGACCTGTGGCAAACAAATGCTAGCATACCATTCTGCATTAACCGTTCTTTGTCCCTCAAGAGGAATAGTCGTAACATGGCCGGTTTTGGAGACAAACGTGGCCACCATTTTTTTTGCAACACTCCGCGAATGAATAATTTTTGTTGGCTTTAACTCATTTTTGAACACCCAAACTCGTGACTGATTTTTTGTTTCGGGTTCGTACGCGTATGTATATCCAGGATTCGTCACCTGATACGATGTTGTACAAAGCATTTGAGGATCCTGCGTGGAATCTTTCGAGAGTTCTGACGCACCAAGTAACGCGAGCCGCTTTTTGCTCTTCACAGAGCGAATGCGATATCCATCGGGAAAACAACTTTTTTTACACCTAATTGTTCATGCAAGATTATTTGTATGCGTACTCATGCCAATGTCTAAAGTTGCCTGAATTTCGCAGTATGTCACATGTCGATCTTCCTCAATCAGCTTACGCACAGTATCAACGTTTTCTTGGGTGACTGCAGTTTTTGGACGACCTTGATGGGATCATCACTGAGCTTGACACGTCCACGTTGAAATTCAGCAAACCAGCGATAAATTGTGGTTTTCGATGGGGCTTCATCACCAAATGCAGAAATCATCCGGTCAAACCACTTCGAAAGTCATAATAAATCATCGCTCTTGAATTTTCTCAAGTCAATTCCATTTTCTCAACGACTAAACAAGTTTGGCAAAACCTTGTGACAGGACCGAGAATCTTTTTTTAAGTAAATAAATGGTATTCGATTTTTAAAACCAAGGAGTTTTCAATTAAAAAGATTTTAATATGACAGGAACAGTGGAAATATTCCATTCCCGATACTTTTAATGCAGCCCTCGTAAAAATATAGGATTGCCAGATTTTTTGAACCTGTAAGGGATAAATGCTCGATTAAACAAGTAAAAATGGATTTCAGTATTCAGATTCAGTACAGTCAGTAAGTCAGATAAATAATATTTTTTGCTTTATTATTTTTTATCAACTTTAATTCGTAATACATAATAAAGTCCGAACTAATACTAACAACACTTGTGCATGTGGCAATGGTCATACTTTCTACTCACATTATACACCAGTTAAATTCGATCATAGATCAAATACGAAATGTTGTAAAAGTTAATAATAGGATTTACTTCAAAATTTAGGGGGAGAAAAGTGCACATGTGAAATTTAGATCTGGATCTGGTACCTGATTATTATAAGGCCATACATACAGTTCCATACAAGATTCGAACCCCTGGCTAGCAGCGTTGCTGCCAAAATGTCCACGCGCTGAGTTAAAAGTGTATGCGTGCTCCTATTCAAACATAAAGTTATTGACTAAAGATTAACTCTTTTTTATTGTAAGCTAGTGGTTTGCAGATATGCCAACACATATCGGTTTCTTTTTTCGGATAACAACTCATTAATCTGTCGACATGTTTGGGAAAAAATCTGTCATTACAAGACCTTGAGGACAAATTCGAAACATTAATACTTGATGGTGGTACACTGTCAAAGGTACGGAAAATCAGGTACTGACATCGCCATTTCGCCTGCCAGTCGTGGCGATTATGGCAAGGATTTGATATATGGGTAGGATAGGTCATGTCTTATAGGTAGACTTATGGTATAGGCTGATGAAACAGCTTAAAAGATTCCTCTACATTGTTTATTTCTACCAGGATGTAAGAACATGTTGATGTTGGCAAGCCATTGCTGATAGATTACGAGAGTCTTGTATACACAAATTATTCCTAAAATTTTTGTACTATACTGGGGCAACAGGACACAACGGTGGTGGCCAAGCTGCTGATGAATAGTGAAAACATCTTCTTCAATTCGTATCTAGGGAACAGAATGTGATGGTGGTGGGTTAACCATCCTCCGACCTTTTCCAAAGCACTAATGTATTAAATAGTACCGGGGCAACAGGACGTGATGGTTAGTGGGCGAGCCATTCTACTAATGTATTAAATTGTACCGGGGCAAAACGACGTGATGGTGGTAGGCGAGCCGTCCTCCGACTGTTTCCAAAGCACTTATGTATTAAATAGTACTGGAGTAACAGGACGTGATGGTGGTGGGCGAGCCGTCTTCCGACCGTTGTTTCCAAGGCACTAATGTATTCAATTGTACCGGGGCAACAGGACGTGATGGTGGAGGGCGAGCCGTCCTTCAACTGTTTCCTAGGCACTAATGTATTCAATTGTACCGGGGCAACAGGACGTGATGGTGGTGGGCGAGCCGTCGCTGATGGGCGGCGAGTTCGGCGACGAGGACGAGCGACTGATCACACGGCTGGAAAACACGCAGTACGAGGGCGACGTGGAGTGGAGCGCGCCGCCCGCCTCGCCCGCCAAGACGCCGCCCGCCGCGCACTGACCACACACACCACACTAATATAGGCCTTTACCGATACGCAATGATGTCTTTCATTTTGTCATCCCCACGTCTACCCCATACCAATATCACACAATAAATAATAATACCACGTACAGCGTAGACAGAGAAATCTATAGACAAATTGACGCCTTCTTTCGCATTCGCACACGAAAAAGATAGATTTATGCATACGTCTTGCATAGAAATGAGATAGAGCGGTGTGATTGTTTGTCCCTTTCTCCTTGCCGGTTTTTTTGTTTAGCAATTTACACTTTGCTAAACAAATTTGACAGTTCGTAGCAATCTAAGGAGTTTACAAGTTGGTTTAAGTGTGAAAAAAGTGTTTTGTGAACTTAAGATTGGTGAATCTTGTTCAGTTCAGTTCTTAGGACAATTAAAATTTTTATCTAAATATGTTTAAAAGTCATAAATATTATTGTATAACCTAAAACTACATTATCATCCTTTCTCACTCGAGGCCACGCTAATCGTTAGTCTATTGGTTTCTCTGTCTACGACGTAAAGAAGTTGCACTCCTTTGATGTTCACCAATTACCGACGTTTTAATAGCCTACATAATTAATTACATGAATCACGCACGCAAGCTAATTTAAACCTAATAGCTGCGCGTGAGTGTCTTTGCATCTTTTATCCTTCCTACGTCACGGACGATATTTCGTGGTTACCAAGGGCTTTCAACAGAGAGTAAAATATATAGTACGTATGTAGTACCTTTTGATTTTCTATTTAATTTACAGCTGTTTTACTTTAATATAATGTCTGATATTTTTTACCATCTTTAAACTAACGGTATATTTAATTTAAGAGTAAAAAAAACCCAAATCTAACATATAACTTTAAATAAATACTGGGAAAGAAAACATTGACACGAAGTGGTAAAATTGTTATTCGATTTTAATAAATTATTTGCTGGTTTTATCATTATTATGTTTTTAAAATTGTTAATGAATATATTTTCTATAGTATACATACAAATTACACTAAAACATAGCTACGTTATCGTATCACATGGTAATCGAAACAATAAACAAAAATATTTATACAAGTATTCACAAAAAAATTATTTACAGTGTTAAAAACTGAAATTCTCTAGTACGCGCTAGCCCTTACTGCGTATGTAACCTGAGGTTCCGCGCGATTGTAGGTATTTCTATCACGCAGGTGGCAAGGGTGACAGAGGCCTTCCCACGTCGCTGCCGACCGAACAGGAAAACTTAAATAAAGTAAAGGCAATTTAGAACCAAACATGTCAACAGCTGTGGATCGTACGGGTAAGGTAGCTGGCACGGGAAATGTGTCACGCAGTTGTATTTTTATTTACGATTTAATGTTTTTAGGTACATACGAAATACGAGCTCCATACTTATGTGTATAAAAAAACTTCAAAACACGTTTACAAAGTGCACACATAAACAATGAAAGCGTTTTCTTAGTCACATTATGCTAGGGCTGCATCTGCGTCTATTGTCACAAAGCGATACGATACACGCAGATGTGACCGGCTACTATCGGCTATCGTCGTGAACATTCGGGTAGCGTGTGCGTGTGCGGGTGTTATTGCGCGGGTGGCGGTACATCAAAGGGTTTTAGCGCATCATCTCTATACGTGGTAGAGCCATGCTGCAGTTGTATTAGTAGTATAGTTTTGTAGTACGAATGGGTCGGCTCGACCGGGAAAGGACCGCGCTCTCACAGAATGCCAGCCTGAAATAGTAGCTTAATGCTGCTGTGTTTCGTATGGTGAGTGTAGAGAACCGGAGACCCTTTTTACTGGAAACGAGGCATTCCACCTTACTCCTCACGGGTAAACGTTTCTATCTGGTTTTGATTCGTAATCGAGGATAGATGTAGATGTCTATGGGCCACAACAACCACTTAACATCAGGTGGACTGTGTGCTCGTTTGTCACCCTATCCTATAAAAAAAATCAACATATCGCGGTGCTTGTTCAGACTAGCGTGTTCATTTCGGCCGTTGTTTTCGATCAGTTCAGACGCATGCATGTGGCTGTATAAAATGGAGTGGAGTGATGAAATGGTACTGGAACTCCTATTTTTAGATTTTAGGTTCCTTCTTTTTATATTTTAATAAATGCGTTATGTAATTGTTAGCACACATGTAAAAGTAAAGAAATTCGTCGTCCATAGTTAAACATTTGAAAATGATTTCGGCCATCTTGGATTATTGCACGATAGTTCATGTAAAATATCGAAGCCGCTAATATGACCATAGCTTTTATCGCGATAACTTTTTAGTGTCAAAACGTACGAAGCTTCGGCACGCATTACTTCGGGACGATACACGCACGTGCGGCCGAAGCATTAAACAAAATCAGTGTTGGATTGTCGAAAAAGACATTCGCAGTTTAAAACACAGAGAACAAGTCTTCGCGCCTGCTCACAGAAAGGTTACGTGGAATTAACCGTAACCTGAGCGTATTATATTGTTGTGCGCCTCAGTTGATGCCTGGTACACGGCACTCGCGCCATCTATTATCAAATAGAAGAAATAAGCTTTTTAAAAAACTCCACACTCGAATTTTCTACACCCAGTCGGTCTGGACCGGTATTTACTGGGACATTCTAGATGTTTCAGTGGAAAAGGCCTATATAAAGCTGTGAGTGCCGCGACCGGGGCAGTATTGAACTGGCGATACTAGTAAGACTTAGGAGCGAAATAAAGTGAACTAAAGTATTAAGTGTGATTAATTATTAGTGTGTATTAGTTTTAATTGGTATTCGGTAATTAAAGTGTAAATTTTGGTAATTCAATCGGCGGTTTTTATTGTCACGAACCCTAAACTCGTAACAATATATAATGTATTACGGTCGTGATGCTAGTCTAGTAGTATGCAAAGAAGTCTTTGATTATACGATGTGGTTTATTGATAGTCACCGAATTATAGTAGTCTCTGTCTCAAAAGAAATCCCTTAGTCGCGGCCATTTCCCCTATGGTCGCGCGTTAGTATATGCTGTCAAATTCCATACACACCCAAGTCATATACGAACATTGATTTTTAACTATTGTGTCTATTTCCTACGAGTTGTTAAACGCGGTAGAACCGCGCTGCAGCTATATTATATTTGTATCTCGAATAGATTGGCTCGACCGGGGTAAGGTTACACTCTCACAGAATACTAGCGTAAAATAGAAGCTTAATGGTGAGTGTAGACAGCCGGAGAGCCTTTTTACTGAAAACGAGGCATTCCATGATAGTACTCACGGGTGACAACGCATCTGCATTTTGATTCTTAATTGAAAATAAATGTGGTGTACTGTTATTGGATATAATAATACAGTACTTCAACGGTGATATAAGCTTAATCTGTCAAGCGGCGGCTAAGCCGATGGGACGTTATTTTTAAATTTGTAGACCCCACTAAAGAGTATAGTAATATTTAAAAGTAACTCCTTACCTTCGATCAACAATACCAACTAGATAACGTACAAAATCATAGCTAAATACTGTCCGCATGAATATAAACTATGAAAAGACATAAATAACATTTAGTGTGAAATCAACCTTAAGTTATAACAAATAAAGTTCTTTTTCCCGTTATTACCTTGCGAGCTACACTCTCACGTGCAAGAGCTCACGTCTCATGTACGCTCTTATTTACTGAGACGGATTTCTTGCGCCGACCCGACATCTAATTGGTATTGTTGATCGAAGCTCCTTACAACCATAGATAAGAGTGCTCAGAAGAGTATAAATAAGGAAGGTATAGAGCACAAACTAATAAGAGTACAAAGTATAGAGCGTACGTATCGCTAATTACCCATTATGCCAAGCGTTACCAGATGTTCTATATACATAGTTAGAGCGGTTGAATAGTGATGCGCGGAGATTGCTGCCTATGCGTTATTGTACTTGAGTTATTAATTTGAGTATGTAAGTTTTTGCAAATATTATGGAGGCGATAGTAATAATAATAATAAACATCTATATCTTAATCCAGTTATTTCTTGCCGTGTAGTGGCGGTCAAGAATGTCCACTACCCCATATCTTCCCGTGGGTGTCGTAAAAGGCGACAGAGGGAAACAGGCAGGAGATGGAAAGAAAGAAAGAAGAAAGAAAGAAAGAAACAGATTTTATTTGGCACATGCAACACACTCAAGTGGATTATATAAAACACATAACATTTAAGTAGTCATACAAACAAAAAACAAAAAAAAAAATTATACATAGAAATCATGAAACAGGACATTCACTCCTTGTTTATAGATATGGTAAAACTAAAAAACAAAAAAAAAACAAAAAAAGCAAACAATAATATAAAAAAGAAAAAAAATAATAATAATAAAAAACTAGAGAATAAGGAGTAATGCATAAGGTGTATTACAAAGATAATCCACCCGTTAATGCTGCTCTGCTCCAAAAAGGAAAGCCACTCAGAATATGTTGGAATGTATCAGAAGTACAACACCCCAACCCTGATTTTCAGTGGCAACCTTATATATGGGCACCCTTATATATATAGATGCGTAGCTGCATCTTCCTAACAGCAGCAACTGTACAACAAAAAACCCCATGAGCAACGATGCAAATAAACGGCCCCCAGTCCCCGGCGGCCCCGCTATTCCTGGCTACTTTGGCGACCATTCAGGCAATTGTTCAGTGATGTCTCAGTGATCGCAAGGGTAAAAACTGACAGCGATCACCGAATGGTTAGAGGCACACTGAACCTAAACGTTAAGTTCGAGCTGTCTCATCTCATGAAGTCAACGCTCCCCCCTCGTGCTCTAATCTAGAATCCCGACACATTTCAACTCCAGTTACGTAACCGCTTTTAGTGCCTAGAAGATTGCAATGCAGTGGGCGATATGAGTGACAAGCTCGTGGAAAGTGTCCATGCGGTGCAGCTAAGTTCTGCAAGACCCGCCGCAGAAGAACACAAAAACTCTTCGATCACACTCTTAATCTCATGGTTACTAGACGGAAGATGAGGCTGCAATCGTCAGCGGATTTGATAACAT